CCACTGGGAATAGCGGGGTTTGAACGGGTGTTGACGAGCAAAAGATATTGGGGTAGATTCTCTTCATGATCGATTCCATCTTTTGTCAGAAAGATGTGCGAGTCCCGTCTTCGTTTAGGGAGGGCGCGCAGGAGTTCCCAAAGCCTCGCCGCTTCTCCCTGGAGCAAATAATTAGGCGTCTTGGGGAACTAACACCTTCTAACTGGCTCTTGACTCCGCCCATTGTCACCGGCAGATTGGTCTGTGCAAGGCTAGGGTAAGGGTTGCGAACTCAAGACAAAGAAAAAGAAAAGGATGAAACTGGCATTATGCTTCTTTTATCACATGTTCAATTTAAAAATAGGTGGTAAATGGGCATAGAACTGTACATCATGCAGATAATAGTAAAGGTATGGATCCAGATTTTCAGAGCAGAAAATAAATCGTGGAGCACTTTGGATAACTCTGTTTGGTGGGAATTCTATAGATCTGAAAAAGTCGCGCGAACTTATTCAACATCGTTATATCGTATATGGTCACCATTCGGTAGCATTAGTCGTTTGTCGTCTTAATGTATTGTATAAAAAGGAAGAATGTTAGAAGATAGAAAGGATTTTCAATGAAACAACAATAAAAAGGATATTTAATATAATGATTGAATTAGTAGTTAGGGCTTTGGAAAGTCTTGCTACACCGTCTTCGTTTAGTAATGTTGTCAGCGGAGCACGATAGTCGAGAAGGTCTCTGCTGTATTTCTTTAGACTCACCCTTGTGCTGTTTTCAAAAGTTCCGATTGCCTGCGGTTTCGAGGATTCGATTGCCTGTACTTTCGAAGATCTTCTTGCAAAGCTGTCTGCAATTGGTATTGGCTAACATTCGCTCGAGATGTGATGCAGTCGAATCCAGCCTCAGTGCTCTTCTCCTCTCTAGCAGATCCGGCAGATCTTTTTTTCCAGCTTTCGGCTGAATCCACTTTTGCTCGAAGGAAGCGATGATCTGAGCCACTACTGAAGGATGGTACACTGAGACGTCCAATAAGCACCACCTTTGGTTGGTGAGAATGTGGTCGATCTTCGCATGAGTGGTACCGTTGGATGATTCGTCCACCGCCGGTGTTCTTTCTTCACGAAGACGGAGTTGCCATGAAAAAGCCGTGCGGCGGATAAGAGCCTAAAAGACGGTTACCATTCTCATTCCGGAGCCCTGATCCAAATCTCCCATCTTGTGCTCCCCTTCTTCTGGCATCCCGATTTTCGCATTGAAATCACCCACGACAAACTTATATAAGGAGTTTTCTTTGCGGATGACTTCCTTCAAATCCTCTTAAGAAGCATCAAGTTCCGAATCATTAGCTGCTGATTTTGGAGAGTAGCAGTTGATGACCATCACGGGTATAAACAAAAGTTGATGCAATTATCGTATAATGACATTTTCTCTACAAAATCAAGCTCAAGCTAAAGGACCCATTGCGTACAAATATCGTAGCCGTACTATCTTTAACTCTACAAAGAAAGTCGGTTGCACTCACTCCACAATGGACAGTGCATTTCAGATTTTTGCTATTAAAAACTCTCTGGCATAGAAGACTAGGTTCCTGCAAAACACTAGCGGACTTTTATGTTGGACATGATATGTAATAGATCAGATATGTATACCCATTTCTCTCACATAGTATTTGCGCCCGAAATCAAAAAACGATTATCGAGCAGGCTTGAATTAAGTCTCGATGTTTTCACATATGTGTTTGTGGGGATGATTGTTTTCTGCGAGAGGGATATTGAAAGCGATCCTATCAAGGAGCGAATACATGCGATTTCAACAGAAAGAGAAGTGCGATTGAAAGATGGTAACATCAGAAGCATG